GTTTATGGTTTAGGGTTTAGAGGGTTTAGGGTTAAGGGTTTAGGGGGTTTGGGGTTTAGGGTTTAGGCTTGTGCTGATGGTTTTATTAGGCGGTCGTAGGGGAGGCGGTCGTAGGCTTCTTTACAGGGTCCGGTCTCAAGGCTTCACCAGCACCCGTAAGCACGTTACATGGCATACCCCGCTGCATGGGTTTTGCCTGGTAGCGGTTCGGCTGTGCTTTACACAGCCTTTGGTCAACGGGATTGGCGGCCCCAGCGGACTTGCTACGTTGGTCACCCGGTTGAAAGAAGGTTCCGGATTTTCCCAAGTCAACCGTAGGCTCTTCTGCTTGGGTTTCGCGGCTCTTGATGTACCTAGCACGTAGGCTGTCTAGAGTCTCGACAGAAAGGTCCTCGGGTGGTTGTGACGTGGTTCAGTCTGTGAGCGTGTCATTCGAAAAGAAACCCTAAACCTTATAAACCCCTAACCCTAAACCCTAACCGTAAATTCTAAACTGCTGTGACCGACGTTCCTTTCAATTCCTACAGTTTGGGCAGCTGTCTGCACCTTAGCTGGAGCCTCCTGGGTTGTCTTGGCTTAGGTTGCAATTCAGGAGGAGGACTTTGTTTCATGGGACATGCAGAGGTTCAGAGACTGTCCCCCAGGCCACAGCAGCAACAATTCAACGCAATGTACCCAGAAGCCCTGTTAAGACCCTTCAAGACCCCAGAAGCCCGTACGCATCCCTGAAACGCCAGCCTCGGACATCCCACATCCTCAGACCCTAGCAACCCGGTGTAATATAGAACGCTGAATACTTACTACTCACTACTACTCCTGAGGGCGGCTCTTATGCTTATAGTAATTTTATAGAGTATAAGATACTCCACCAGACCCTATTCGAACTATTTAGATCCGAATGCTCTAGAACCCTTGTCGGACCCTTTATAGGAGCCCTATTCTGATCATAACCCTAAACCCTAAACCCTAAACCCTAAACCCTAAACCCCTAAACCCTAAACCCTAAACCCTATTCTGATCATTAAAGCCGCTGTTTCTGTGCCCAGGAATCAGAATTTTGCCGTCCGCCTCGCCGGAACGGCGAGCTGCAGCTTGGACTGACGACGTGGGCGGGTTTAGGGTTTAGGGTT